CAGACGCAGAGGCACCCCCGGGGAAGCCGGTCTGGCTTGGAAAATGGTTCTTTAGAGAAGAAAAAAACACCACCATGTAACTTCACAAAGCACTCTGCTCACATGGGCACCCCTCAAACCAGGGGCAATAATCCGGTGACTACACAAGCGAAACATTTAAGTAAGTTTTAGGAAACCTAGCGGTGTGACCCTATCAAGGTGGCAAAAAAAAAAAAAAAAAAAAAAAAAATTAGGAATACAGGAATCCACCTTTTCATTCATTACTTGGGGGGGAAAATCCTTCTCAAAACGAAGAAATTCTGTACAAAACAGATGTGCAATATGCCTCCTTGAAATTTAAGATTTAAAAAAAATTATTTATAAGGAGAAGGGCATGAAAATTTAATTTAATGTTCACCTTAGGTAATTCTGTGTCTTATTGTTCACAGCAATTACCATAAATCTGCATATCAATAAGCAAGAACAGATGTCAGTTGTTACAAGTGCTTGCCAATCAGGTCTGTTAAAAAGTGACAGATGGGTGGTTATAGAACATTCTCCTAAGGCCTATTAGCACATTCGCAGGAAGCGTCTGCAGAGCGGACTGCTGGAGACTCGGCTTGGGGAAGAACGCGGGGTCTTTGTGGATCTAAGATGAACACTCCACAACTCTGGGAGCGTCTCCAATTCGAGCGCTCCGATCTCCAATGCAGCGTTTTTGCAAATGTCTTCCCACTTCTCCACTTGTGACAGACACTCTATGACAGACAGTCTTCTCAGAGAACGGGCCTCAGATTGATAAAAGGAGAGCTGTTTGGCTGTTTTGAGCAAATATTTGCACTCTACAATTTTATTATGACTTTCAAAACTTAGACCAGATACTCTGGAAGGGAATTACTACCAGCTTTGCTGAAAATCGGAATTTAAATAAAGCAGTTTCCTCCTGTTCATCAACAATACTTCTCTTCCGCCATAGCTTCATGATCCATAATTTGTTCAGTAACAATTTCTTATCGTAGGACAAAAGTTCCCCTGACACAGAACCCACTTGTAATAAATTTGAAACGTTTTCCAGAGTGAAGGGGGGCAGTTTTCCTGTTACTGTCTCTGAACTGCTTCCTTTTTAACAGGTTGGGGCCTGTTACACCGTTTGTGTAGGCTGGTCACTTTGGATGGCGTTTATGCAAACATAACGTGGATGGGGCCGAGCCACAGAGCGCGTTTCACAAGCTTGGAGGACACACAGCTCAGGTTTGGATCAGGTCGAGCTGGACTTGAAATTTACATCTGCCACTTACTAGCTTAGTGGGTCTGGACAAGGAGGAAACCTCTCTAAACCTCGGCTGGCCACCTGTAAAATGGGGCAGTCACAGTTCCTACTCGTAAAGTCGTCGTGACGTTTGGGAATTCTGTACCGTGATCCACACCATGCCACTTACTGTGCTGTGGTCTCCTATTACCTGTTTTACCCTTTGATCCTTCCATGTTTCCACCTGTACTGCAGGAGAGTGGTGGTCTTGTCTTGGCATGCTATGAGGGTCAACTACACGATTACTACAAGGAGCTCGGTGACAGACAAAATTGTAATGTACTTCCCTTGTTTTTCTATCATAATGTTCTTTTGAGACAGTCGTTTTAAAGAAACAACTTTCTTCCTTTCTCCTTTAAGAAAAATCCAGACTTTTAGCCCAAACTCAACAAGTTTCTGAGATTTTAGAAATTCATTGAATACCACAGCTGAGTGAGAAATGGACAAGTTTTTATTAGAAGTTTTATGAGGGAAAATAAAATCAGTCAACTTCTAGGAGGCACCAAAAGTATACATAAAAGCATTCTGCTTATAAAGATGTGATCCTAGTCCATTTTCTGCTTTCAAATTCCATATTTAGTCAAGATTCTCTTCTATAAAAAATCATAAAACACATTTGAAGTTATTTTTAGTTTGAAGGGAAAAATGGTAAGATTTTTTAGGAAAAAACATACAGCTATGTCTCATCTTATTGATGCAACTACTTAGTAAGTTGTCATCTAAAATTTCTTTTGGTATTTCTTTTCTGGTTTTATTTTATTTTCCCCTCAAACAGAAAATGTTTCACTCATATAAATGTGGCATTTTAGACTCTAGCTATAAACCTCAGTCTCCTGAAGGATAGACCATTATATGTTGAGAGTTGTTTGCAGCAAAATATTACTGGCTTATGAAAAGATATTTCTCTCTCTTTGGTGACAGTGTTGCAGGCTGGACTACTGGAATTTTGGATGTGGAGGCTGTAGTATATAAAGATTGTACCAGAATTGTTTATGAGCCCACTCCTACTATGCCAGCACATCACTCACTCAGCAAGCATTGTAGCGTCCGGTGGGATCAGTGATGAATAACCTCGCGGGTCCTCCCCCACTATGCTCCCATCGCATGGCTCCTACTGCGTTTGTGATGTTTTCTATTATACAAACTATCTCTAAATCCCAGCAACTCACTTGCAAAGATTCTGTCATTAGTTTATGTACTGTTCTTTTGGTTTACACATAAGGCTGAAATCAAATTTCTTAATTCAAAAACCAGGCACTTCACCTAAGTCCTATTGGGAATGATGTATCCAAAATATGCATGTCAATTCATAACCCTGTTCACTCATCCACTCAAGAGCGGTCACGAGTAGCTCTCAGAGGGAGGGCTGAGTCCATGGGCCACCAGCCTGCGCCCTCCCGGAGTATCAGGGAAGTGACGGTGGGAGAAAGTAAGGAGCTTTGAGGCTACACAGAAGAGAGGCCCCCCTCACACTTGTAGGAGCCGGGACAGCTGCTTCCAGAGGTCATCTCTGCCACCATCCCACTGGGATCATGTCATACTACTGGTGCAGATTAATCACAAGGACAAAAGTTGAGCCCTACTATTGGGACAAAAGAGTAGAAGAGGCCATGTAACTTTATTTGGGGAAAAATACGCCAAACTATAATGTTTCAAATACTCAGGAAGATGAGACCTGATTCTCCATGTGAACGAAGAGTATCCGTTACAGAAATCGCCAAGTGCGCACGGCCTTGACAACGACATCCTGAACACTCTAAGGTATCCGAGATGATGACAGATAACGGAATGGTCAGCATCCGATTCTGCAGCCTGCGTGGACTTAAGGTGCTGTATTGAATATGTTGAAGGCTCCAGAAACGGGTATTTTGGACACACACAGCATTTACAGGATGCCTTTAAATTCGCCATCCGCTCCACAGCTCCTCATAAGGGGACTCCCAGAGACCCTCAGGTTTCAAATGAGGCACAGAGCGCGTGAATGCTCACACCCTGACCTGCGGCCGGTGTGGCCGAGGCGCACGCTTCCTAATGGAAACCGACAGGGCGCTCTGCCCACCCGGGATGACACGCTCGGCAGCAGCCTCCAGACCCAGTGACCTCTGCATAATTCGGCTGTGGGAGTGGACAGCCTGAGGCTTCCTCCAAGGAAAGCCCCTGATTTCGGATCAGGGCCGGTCCACACTACATTAGAAGAAAACCAGTTCTCCCGTGGCCCAGGGTGTGACAAATCTTAGTATTTATTCTAACGCTCACAGTCGGGAGCTTTTCTCTTTTAAAACAGAAAACCCCCTGAATATTTCACGTGAGTCTCTCCAGTTCTCTTTATAGAATTAAAAATAAATTAAACATTCCATGTGATTCCTAGCTTCAAGGCCAGCTTCCCAAACTGTATTCGTAAAGACACTGCTGAATGATTCAACTATTTGTCATTTCAAGATACTTTTTTCTAATAATCCAAAAGCTCTGTTACAACAGAAAAAGCTGTCAGTGAAACAGATTTAAAGCCCAACGACAAATGCGGCAGTATTTTTACTGCGGGCCGATGTGTACCTTCACACGGGGAGCTGCCATCAGCCTTGGGCCACAGCGGAGGGCCTGGGCTGTCACGCAACGCACAGGGGCAGAAACGTCATGGAAAATCTTTCCAGATTCATTCCCAGCGAAATAAGAAAAAACCAAGGCTACATATTTGAAAGGACAAAAAAAAAAAAAAAAAGGAAAGAAAGAAAAGAAACATGGAAAATAGGAGTTTTCAAAGCGACAGATAAAGAAATCCGGCTTTTATTCTGCACATTCAGGTTTCATTTCATGGATTCAGGGTGTCCTTGATTAAAACAAACTGTGGTTGATTCTAATATGCCAAAAATCTGTTCTTCTCCTTGCCCTCTCCCCCCACCGCCTTTTTGGAATCAAACAAGGAAAAAGCTTTCTGACTGCTGCTCACGGCAGGTTAACGGGCGCCCGTGTTCTGATTTATTGCACGCGCTGCCTTCCCTGGCCCGTGTTAGGTAAGGACATCAGCATGGAGGGGGCACAGTAGGAGTGACCTTTCACTAATCACCGCACCTTGGCGACTACTGGCACAGCTCATTATAAAAAGGAATCCTCCGACGAGCCGGCTTTCAAATACGGTCGCGCTTTGATTTTCTCGAGAACAAAGATTATACTTTCACATAAAGGCTTCTGATGCGCAATTCTGTCAACTGGGGCAGTAAAGTAAGAAAGGCACCCTGTTAATTGTCTGTCGTTATCAAGGGGCTGCAAACTGCATCAAAGATAGGCCTGCAATCCTGCCTTTCATTATGGAGGTCAGAACATTTTTATTGACTGACTATTATTAAAATTTTAGAGGGATGTCAATCATCTTGGCTGCCCTGGATATAGGAATCTTGCTGGAAATCCCCCAGTAATCAATCCCGTTTAAAAAAACAACAAACCGACTGGAGAACATACACACACACTACGCAGGCATTCTCAGTCCCTTCACTTGATAGCTGTTAGGCGCAGTGAAGAGTGGGTGGGAAATGCAAGAGGCAGGAGGGCCCCTTCAGGGCAGCTGATTCCAATTTTGTCACCTACGCTGGAAAGCTAACAGGTCTGGTCATTACCCTTCCTCCTCCCCTTTCCCTTCTCCTTTTCTTTACCCTCCGAACCAACCCCAAACTCAGACAACGGCGCAGTGGAAAGGAAAGGCGGCTTCGTGACTTACCAGCCATCTGCTGAATGCCACTGAACGCACCCAGGTTGCTGGAGGAGGTGGCCTGCTGCAGAAGCTGCCAACGAAAACACAAGTGCAAAGTCAGAACCAGGTGGAGACGAGGACAAAGTAACTTCCTGTTTGAATCGGGGGCAAATTCAGTTGACTCTGCATTTACAGAGGTGGCTGCTACTGCCGAGTGATGGACTGAAGGTCCCCAGAGCTGGGGCTGTAAATCTCTATTAATGTCTGTCTCTATTAAGAAACACAGACACTGGGGAAACGCACTAACACTGCTGCCTTAAAACAATTGATCAATTTACTCTTTTTAACAACCAGGTGCTAAATCTATGGAAACCAACATAGTGTGACTAATGATCTCTCTCTGCAGTCTCGCAGTCACCACAACTCATCCCTGCCAATCAAGGTCCATTCCCCCATCTCTTCTACTTCCCTGCACGGTTCGGTTTCCTTTATCCTTCATGAGAAGCACATGAATTCACCGACTCTGGGACCAACATAAAGATCATCACGACAGCCCCAGACATAAATGCATCTATTCACGGCCACACAGGTACAGCCGTGACCGTGCGACCAAGCGAATGGCCAGCCATTTTTAAGATGGTCTTCCTTGGCAGAGAGAAACACTGCTTGTCAAAATTTGGAATTATCTGGTGCCACGTACTTTGAAGCTATTTATTATAAATATGTCAGTCTTTTTAAAAAGATATTCATATACCTGTGAAAAAGTCTGCATTTTTCCCTAGAGTATTCCAAAACACGTTTCTCCTGCTATGCGGAATCAGTGGGTGCCGCAAGACAAAGGCATGTGGCTCCTGTCCCCAAGTGCTCCTAGATTGGTCCCGTTCAGCTGCACTGGAGGTTTACTTAGGTGCTCTAAGAGTGCTGGGCTGGATTTACAGATATTCTCTTTCATAAGTAAGGCAGATATAGTTTGTGGTGGGGGAAAGCATATAGTTATCTCCTATGTTCAAATGTGCATGGATACCAAAGGGCATAGATCTACTAAATTTATTACTGAAACACTGTTACAACACTATGTGCTTAGAAAAAACAAGATGAATCCACTGCTTAAAAATAGCTTTTAGAATGTACTTGGAGCTCTGCAAAACATAATGTAGAACACTGACCCTCTGGGAAAGGACAGGTCTCTTCAGTGTAATAGGAAAAACTCTACAATTGGACGTGACTCAGAAAAGGGCACCTGTCAATTGAAGTTAAAGTGCCAAGTAGTGTGCAGTATCCACAGCTGACCACACCCAAGTCTCCCGTGCGACATCATGGGACACGGCATTAACAGGCACTAATGCTGAGAAAGAATTTGCAGTGTTCACTCACGCTTGACTCCTTGAACGCGGTAACTGGGTGTTCCGTGTGCACAGACGTGCGCCACACATGCTCTCGCACTCACACACAGAGAGCAAGGGAGGCAGGAGGAGGGTGTGGGGGAAGCTAGGGGTGACCCTCTGTGATACAAATACCTTAGTTAGGTCTGATGTGTTGGGCTTTCCATTCTCTTGTGTTTACAAGCCCCAAGCCCTTCCTCACATTAGTTTTAAAAAAATTAAAGTAAAATCAAATTAGCTTTGGAGATAGTCTGAGGAATTATTACCACCTATTGAGGTAAGTGGAGATCCCTGGATGCCATTAAACCACCACTAAGGATCATCCCATGGGTAACCCATCGCTGGCAAGCCAGGGTCAGGATCTGTAGCGCAGTACAACCAAGGGCTCTTCCAGAGAAAAGGATTTTCAAGTGAAACGTGTAGAACAAAGTGAGTAAGAAAGAATCGAAGCCACGATAGGAGAAAGCATACCAAGAGCTTATAAAAGCATGTTTTTATACCTGAGGCTGAGATTCATTGCCCTTCAGGCATAGAATAAAGTACAGATGTGGTCACAGAAACATGTTCCAGAGATTTCTATGAGCCATGGGGCATAGGAGATGTCCCCGAAGACTGAGGGTGGACGTCGTTCTCGTATGCACAACTCAACCAACGGTGTGTGAGCACTCTGACAGCACAAGTTTGTGAAAACAATTATTGTTAAGCTAGACTCACTTTTTAAATAAAATTTTTAGATTGACAGAAAAAGACAGCAGAGCATACACAGGTTTTAGTAAGACACCTGACAAAATCTCTCATGGTATCTTTGTGGATAAGGTGGAGAAACGGCCAGAAAGCAACATAATAATAAGCAGAGTCGATGCTTTTGTGAACGACTCTGATGAAGACAGGAGAAGCCAGCCTTTCATTCATTAACAAACCTGCACTGAACAGCCTGCCACACTAGACCCCAGAGGGCACTGCAGCATAGGGGTGGGGGAAAGGATGGAGGTGATCCCATGACCTCCACCTGCACTCGGTCCTCTGAGAAGCGACAGGGCAGCTGGCTGGCACACGCAGAGCCGGAATCCGTGGGCCACCAGCAGCTGTGTGACCCTGGGTAAAGTTACTAACTTTTCTGGGCCTCCCTTTCCTCATCTGGACCACGAGCAGGAGAATCGTACCTTTCAAGGTACCAAGGAGGACATTTCACACGACAGTACAGCTTCTGCTACAAAGCAAAGCTGATGGAGAATACGGCTCTGAGAGGGACAGTTAAAATGTAACGTGACAGAATCAGGACACCGCATGTACACGCACTCTCTCTCAGAGGCTGGAATAAACGCCCAAACTCACAATATGGAATCATAAATGTCAAGTCCAGCATTGACGCTCCAAAGCAGAAAAACGAGGTAGAGGAGCTGGGTTTGCGGCAGTTGAAATACAAATAACAACTCGGGAGTATTCTCTGCCTTCCGGCCCCCACCTTGCAGGGGTGACTGCAGCTACCGCAGGATGTCGTCAAGGCCACGCTAGGGCTCACGACTGTGTCCTGTTTACGCCTTACTGGGGGAACTGTCGTGCATTCTGGACTCTGTACCTCAATAACGACACTGGCAAAGGGAAGCGGGTAAGCACAGAGGAACGAGAAAGTGAAAGTTGAGAAACCATGAAATGTAAGGGATGGCTGAAAGAACTGGGTGTGTCTGGCCTGAAGAGGATCTAATTTTGTTGGTTTCAAACAGATGAAGTACGGAACATTTGACTTTGTCAACACAGTTCCACCGGGAAGACCCAGGATCACGGAATGGAAGTTCCAGGAGATTTCGGCTGCGGTCCTGGTGGGCCGGGTACTAACCGGCCAGGCGGGCTCTGGAGCACCGTCACCCCGTAGTCTTCCATTCCAGCGCTGGGTGGAAGTTTAGCCTCCATCGGGTAAGAATTAAATTACTCCCATTCTCATGCTAATCGGTTTAAGCTGGAAGTATTCTGCATAAATGCTAATTTCAACCATTTCCTGAGACTCAAAATGTACTGAGAATGACATTTCTGGCGCACTTGGGGGCGAGTGGGTCGCGAGGACCACGCCCGCCGCCCGTCCGGCACTTACCGCCAGGTACTGCGGGGTCAGTCCGCCCAGACCCGTCAGGTTCCCCCAGGTGGCAGTGTTGAGCTGCTGCATCTGCTGCGCCAGCTGCTGCTGGAGGCGCCTTTGCTCTTTGTCCTTCTGAGTGTCCGCAAACTTCACCACGATAGGTGAAGAGCAGCCCTGTGGTCAGACACATCGGAAAGCGGAGAGGGGGTTACAGGCTGGTCGGATCCCCTGGGGCGCTCAGTCTGCGCGGGCTCTGCCTCTCCCCGCTACCTCGGCACGCACGGAATGGGCTGAAATGGTTTAAAAACGGTTTGATATTCCTTCTTCTTCTCTCAATAGCACCATCCACAGAAACTTCCAGAGACTGTCACTGGTTTCTTTGGGGGAATCGGGTGGTCGGTGAGGCCATTTGCTTCCTCGCTCTGATTATTAAACTGCCTGTCCCCCTCTCTTCACACGTCTTCCTCCGACCTCCCGGGACCTCCTCAGAGACAAGGGACCCCACCAAGCTGCGTGGGTCGCCCGTCTTAAGGACAGACTTGTCTTTGCGTGGCTGCCTGTTTGCACAGGTGAGCAGAGGACTAAGGGGGAGAAATTGTAACAGGAATGAAAACATCTCTAATTCATTTATTTTTTCACTCTTTCCGATGTTCAGTTATGTGTTTTTGGACTGTGGAACGGTGGGAATCATAGCGATCCAGCAACGAAAGGGCGAAGCTGGCTCCATTCTAGTAACGCGGGGGAAGGAAGGAGGGAACACAGGCACGGGCCGAAGCCACCGTCCGCGTGTTTTCGGGAGGGTCTCCCTTCTTCCTTCCACGTCGCATCTACTCTACCTGCAATTCCTGGAGCTACTGCAAACCCCAGAAAACCAGAAGCACGTGCTAGTCACAGGAGATAGACCGTAAATGGCAGGAGGAGGATCTCCTTGGCTTCTTCCCCTAACGAACCTCACCATTCCAGCAGCTTCTTTCAGTTTTAATTTCCTTTAAAAGGCAAGGAATAGGGGTAGTTGAGAAGGAAATGGCCAAAGGCCATGTAACAGGGTGGCTTCATTTCTGTGGAAGACAAAATCATCAGGGAGAGTAACGGCCTCCACCCCAAGCATGAAGACCTCCTTCCAAAGAACCTTCCACACAGGTGCCGCCTGGCCAGTACTCAGCAGACTGCGCCCCTTCTCCCCCCTTTCTCCTCAGCGTGGCCCCCTACACTCTGCATCGCAATCAAAGCTGCTCCATTTTGCTGAGGTAAAAAAAAGTAATTCTACCCTAGTGATTAAATAAAAACTTGTACTGGAACTCAGCATGGTAACAGACCTCTCTCTCCCCTCTCAGAAACATTATATTCCTATTTAAATGAGCCTTTCTCTTCCACTGCCTTTGGGTCATTTTTCTTTCTTCTAAAAAACAAACTTGCATTTTTTCCCCTTATCACTGTGGGTAGCTATTGGGGATGTAGCTATGAATCCATGAGGTTATCATGTCTGTTAATTAAAAAAAAAAAGTGAGAAAAATGAGAAGCTGTTTCAGGGCTCAATCTCCAGCCTACGGGTCTTCAGCCACGCCAGGCAGAGTCACGGGGTGTTAAATGTCAGTCAATCGCATAAAAGTAATATTTCCATCATTGAAAAAAATCTATAATTCATTTTTCTTTATCTGCTCCACGTTTCAGCACTTCGACACTTTGAAGAGAGCAAAACACTCTGAAGATGAAAATTATTTAGAGAAGGGGTTCTGCATGGAAAAGCGTTATTGTGTCAAATTTGTTCGGTAACAAATTATAGCATCTCCTCCTCACAGTACACTTATTGTTCTTTTTTTCTTCCTTAAACACTAAAAAATGATATAAAAGCAGAAAATTAGGCCAATGATGATGGCTTTAAAAAGACTCGTATAAACCATGAAAGAGGAAACAGGCTGGGCAGAGTGTGAAGGGGAGTGAAGAAATAGCACAATATAAAACTGTTTTCGAGACCTTGTTCTTTTAATGTTCACATCCTTCTGAATCAGATAATACATCTTGGTTAAAGATGTACGCCAGAGTCCTGAAAATAACGTAATTAGTTAAAAAAACAAACGTCAGGTGTACAACTATGTAACTGCATAATATATGGCCTATTTAAATGTCTGTTTTCTGGAAGAAGAAATTTCTTCTTCTGAGGGCCCCTTGTTTAAGCATGGATGTCCAGTTTTAAAAACAAGCACACCAAATTTGATTTTCTCATAATGGAGATATAAATAAAGGGTCAAGGGGGTCTTAAATACGACCCATTGCTCTAACAAAGTCTTCCCGTTGTGAGAACGTATTTTTTCCCCGGTTTTGGGTCATACCCAGTTCTGCTTCAGGGTCTTGATCGCTACTTCTACAGTGACACAGGAGAAAGCCCCGTCAGCTGTGGCTCTGTGTTACTCGGGGGGCTCCTATGGGGATGGCAATGTTTCTGACAGAATTGAAACAATTTAGGTTAAAAATAATTATCTAAAGGGAGACCACTATGGGGACAAATCACTAAATTATGGAAATAAAAATAATCAAGAATGAAACACATATATGGGGGATAAATACAGGCAAAGACTTTTTGGTTTTCCTAACAGCACTTCCATCTTTATCTCCAAGCTGAGATGTGGCTGGAAATCCGTAATAATGGGGCAGCCTAAGTGAAGAGAAAGGGGGACCCAAAACATTGGCACACAAGTAACTGTGTTTTATAAGACTAGATTTCCTATATATTACAAATCCTGCTAATCATTTCCTATCATGGCCGACTTTCACCTGAGCTTGCCTTCAGGGAGGGGGGTGTGAGTGTCTTAAAAATGCATTGCACTGAAAGGAAAACACATTGATTATATAAGATATGTTAGGAATATCAAAGTCAAAATGAATGTTCAAAAAAGACAATAGGCTTTGCAATGCTGGTATCACAACTCAGAAAAGTACAGTAAACACTTAATGACAATGCCATGCACACTCCTTCCCCCCTTTGCACCCACCTTTTGATTCACTATAAAAAAAGTTGCCCACAAAACATGACGCATAATGATCACTTAGCTCCCAGCATGCTTTGGGAGAGGCAGCATTGCAAAAAACAAACAAAAACAAACGAAGAAAAAAATAAAACCCCTACGAAATGGGGCCAAAAGAGAAGCTCAATCCATAAAAAGTTTTTTGTACCATTAAATAAAACTGAAAATATTTTTTTAAAAAATATGAGAACATAGCTTCAATAACACCACAAGGCCACCTCCAGAAAAGATCACCCATACACAGAGATACGGTGTACACAGTACAGCAGAACATGCACTCCCAAATGGCTCTGTCGGACAATACAGAAGAAGTAACAGCATATCACTCTTGGAAAGCTTTTGTGCAAAATTCTGAAAGGCCATGACCCAAATCACAGACTAAAAGTACAGAGCCATCTATCTATGTTGGTGGGTGGACACCCACGCCAGTGGTTTATCTTCCCCTAAAGCTACTATCTCTCATTAGGAGAGCGAATTTGAGCCTTTATGTTTCTTTGTCATTGCTCATTTTTTTTTTTAGCAAGGAGACAAATCTCATTTTTCAGGGGACACTCATAAATTAGCATTTCCACTGTTAAATGAAATGGGAGAAGTATTAACTTTCTCCAGCATTCTTGATGCAGAAACACAATTCTGTTCGACTATAAATAACTTGGCCCCACGTAACAAGAAGAACTTTGACTCAGTGCAGGGCTGCACTTTGGGGCGGGGGCTGTTACTGTTTCATCCATACCAACGCTGAGCTGGGGAATGTACTCGATCCTTTAGGTCCAGAATGACACTTTGCTTAAAGTGCATCATGACTTTACATCGCAGGACCTGTGCTGCTGCAATAAAAGGCTCCAAAAATAACTGTAGAGCAAGTGGAAGGTTTTACTAAATGCATTTCAAGTCGTTAGGGGAAAAATGGAAAGAGAGAGAGAGAATGAGAATGAATATGAATGAATGAAAATCGAGATGGTGAAAGTTTAAATCTGTGATTGTCATGTGAACAATCCACACAGGAGAGAATTGCTTTACCATTCCCCATCATTTGCACAAAGAAAACAAAGAAAGGGCAGATGATACAGTACCTCCATGGTCTGAGACTGATGCATGGCTTTGATTGCATTCTGTGCCATTGCCCTTGTAGAAAATGTGACAAACGCACAGCCTGTGGGAAACAAGGGGACAGGGAGCAGGAAAGACAAAAAACAACAAGACAAAAGGGTTGGACGCTTGTTAAACCAACACAGTCTACGAGAACTGCCACAAGACGACACTGTTCTCAGTAGTACATAAAAATAAACAACTTCTCTCTTTGGTTTTATCTTATTTTGCTTTTTCTTCACAGTGCTGACTTGCTAATCTGACCAAAGCAGAAAGATTTATTTATTTATTAGTTTATTTTTTTTAATGGAAACTAGGGGAGGAAGTTGGGTACTGTTTTTAGCCACAGGGTTTGAAATTAGCAAGATCTAGTCTGCATTTTCTAAAATAAAAAGTTGCTATTTTTCCATTTTCTCCTGGGCTGGTGATCTTTACTGAGGGCATCCACACATCAGGGCTTTGTATTTCCAATTTTATCTTCTATTTTTTTTTTTTTTTTTTAAGAAGCAAATAAGAAAATTCTCACACCAAGGGCAAATTAGCAAATAAATTTCAAGAGCTCAAAATGTCAGCAAATAAATATATCTGCTCCCTTTCTGGGTAGTTAAAAAAATATATATATGTAGAAATATAAACTGATGCTATTCAAATCCAGACAAATATACCAAATGTGTTACAAGCTGTTTAGTAATTATTAATTATTAACAAAACAAATGCTCTATGACTCTGAGAATATTCAACAGTGCATATACAGTAAACTTTAAAATTTTGTATTGGTATTTTTATTCGCATAAACACCTTCATGACTTTCGAAAACTGTGAATTTCTGAACTGTATCAGATCTGACCTGAAGTCTAACATACACAAGACAATGTACATTTCTCTGAATGTCCACTGTGAGACCTGCAAAACTTCCCATGCCTATTGTTCCTTGTGCTGCAAACTAACTAGACTCTGCACTGCTCGTTCCTGGTTCTTGTACCAGCGCTGGCCACCATGCAGGTCACTGCTCCAACTACACGGCTCATTGAGCTTTTCACTAATAAAAACACTGCCTTCTCAAATTTACATTTTATTCATCATGCACCCTTGGGCTTCTGAGAGAAAAAGACTGTGAAATTAATGCAGATTCAGGCTGATTTTATAATAATACCACAGCACACTAGAAGCTTAGCTAAAGCAACACAGACTTATTTCACTTATGATCTCTAATGACTTTAAAAGTGCATTGATTTTCGGCTTCTTTAGCCTTGCACAGTATGAACTTAGGTATCAGAGAATAATTCAGTGTTCCACTCAATTTCCTCAAAGCATTATTATTATTACTACTTAAAAGATTTCCAAATGAAGCAGATCTAAACACAGAGGCTGGAGCCCATTGTCATTTCAGAGCGAATGCATGAAAGCAGAATTCTGGCATCGACAATGTAAGATTGTTGCCCCTGTGGCCAATAAGCAAAATAGAACATTCTACATTCAAACAACCAGCAGATTGTTTGGTTTATGTAAATCAATTTGTGAGCCATGAAATATATTTCCTTCTTTTGTTCTGCATGTGCACCTGGTGAGATTATCAAGTCAATCCTGTAGCAGTGGCACCTTTTAATCAAACAGCAATAAGAGAAAGCAAGGCCTGCCCATCACCCCCAAAGCACAACGACATCCAGTCATGAGAATAAGTCAATGCATTTTTTTCCGCATCATGCTGTAATTTTTAATACACAGAAACTGTCAGTACATGGGAAATTCGTCTCACATTCCCCTCTTGGTTAAGTTGGCCTTAAGAGGCCTGAATGAAGTCCAGCTCGCTAGGAATGCAGAGCTGTTTCATATGGTTCTCCAACAGCAAGGCAGCTGATGAGGCTTGCTATTTAAACACGCTACCTGTACCTAGACTGACTGCAGCTTCTGTCATCAATAAAAGCAATTCTGTGGCCTTCTATAAGGCATCCGGACGATGTGTATAACAGAGTGCGAGACAGATGACAGTACCTCTACTGGCTTCCATATTGATGCTGAGCTCTAAGATGATAAGAGTCCAAATTTACCATCTGCTTCAAAGTAACATCTCTTCAGAAGCATCATGATCATCACCGACATTATTAACAGAGGAAATAATGCTACGAGGTTTTAATTTTTCTACTTCTTGAAACTCCAATGGGGAAGAAAAGCAAATCTGGAGATATATTTGAAACGTGCGAAGCCTGGACTAATTCTGCTTGTCAATAGTCGAGAAGATTGTTGCATTCGTTGCATTTGCTCTTACTATTCAGGAACATGTGCCAAATTGACAGTTTCCAAATGGAGGTTAAGAATGCATAAAAAACACATAAAATGTCACCAAGAATCAATAAGGCACAGTTTATGCATTTACCACAATTTCACACAAGCAGAACTTTTGTCAGTAACTTAGTAAGATACAGCAATTAACAGGTCTCAGAAGTATTAGCAATAGAACAATAAAATCACATTTCTATAAACTCGAACCATTGCCCTTTCCTCTATGAAACCTGCAATTAAAAACTCGACTGATGCTTCTAATTATACAGTTCTTACCCCATCCAAAAACCTGATCTGACAACTCTGATGACTTCTTTAACCTTTTAATTCCATTGGCGGTGGTGCAGTAAGAGGGAAGCTGTCTCCTTAGGGGATTCTGTCAAGTTCTGTACTGTGTTCAGTTACTTAAGAGAAAAAAAATTACTGTGTCATTTATCAAGTGGGGGTGCATGTTGAAAAATGTCACTCTGTGCCACTCTGGATGAAGTTAAGCAACTTCAGAACCACATGTTTCTTGGAATGGGAGTTTGTTAACCTTTGTGATTTCTCTAAAACAGGAGGTCATGGTAATTCCTAGGGAGAGATTTTAATTTTCTTTTTATCACTACAGAAAACATACTGGTGGGCTTTAGGATTAGGCCTCCAAATCTGTGGCTTTTTAATAACATAGGATCGCATATATGCCCCTGCTAAGACTGGCTGCTAGCTTTTTCTCCCAAGCCAGCTAGAAGGCTGTCCATTGGACAAAAATAATTTAGGTCGTAGCTGTCCCCTCTCTCCTACTAAAAGTGAGCTTTTGGGTGCAGTAGAGTTCATAGGGTCTGGAAAGGACAATGGCTCTGATCTTGTAGGGTCAGGCCTTAGCTATTCTAGACTGTCTCAGCAATCAGTTTTCTGGCTACTGACCAAAAAAAGCTGGAGAAACTAGGCTGGGGGAAAAAAAGGATACAGGTGGCCAAAAGATAAAGCTGCACATTTCTCTTTTGCTGGGGAGGGGTTTTAGGTAAGATAGCATGTCTATTACTGTCTTAAAACCTCCAAATATACAAAATAGAAAAAAAAATCCATCTGTAAATGTGGCCAACCTGTAATTTACCTTTGCAATTTATTATCTCCACTTTCAGGATGTCAGATTGTTAATAGAAATGAAAGGAGCTAGATTCCTCTTATTTCAGTGAGGTTGCCTTCTTGCTGCTAAAACAGATAAATGATTGACTGGGGAAAGGTTTCTCAAAGTAATTTCCTCCTACAGATAAGATCTAAGGAAAGCACGTAGCCCTGCCACAGAGAAGATTTTTGGAACACATCTATTATGCTTGTCATTTCAACTTAAAGGATATCTTAACTCAGGTGTTATACCTTTCTTCTCAGCTGCAAGAAAATTTTTAGAGAACTAGATGAATTCTTGCTCTGCACACCGCCCCCTACTCCCCGCCCCCCAAAGAAAAAGTGTAGGCGCTTTTAAAAGCATGAACAATGCCAGGGCCTTGTGCTTTTCTTTTTTTTTTTTTTTTTTTTTTTTTTGTAGGAGGTGCAGAAGCCTGCTATATTTCAACTGAAAGCAGCATTACTTAAAATAACTTGTGCAGCATGAAGGAGCGTTCGACTTATGGAAAACTTGTTTATAAATTCCTAGTTAGCCAAAGACAGATCTTAATGCAGCCAATTTTCTTTGCTCTATCTTTTTAGCAGTGGCAGGATTTGACTTATTAAACATATGCTACCAGTCTACTATTGGGGCATAAAAATTATTCTAATACTCTCATGCACCATCCCTGACGTCGGGCTAATTTATTTTAAATTGGCAGGGAAACATCATTCACGTACAGCATCCGAGGCTGGGTTCAGATTAGGATCTACTTAATAGGTGGCAAAATCTCATCGCTGAGATGAGACTGGAAGACTACTGAGAACAAGAGGGCAAAATACAGTCCGTCATCCAGGGGCATGGGATGAAAGTTTCCACACGTCTGCATGTTTAGGTACTGCGTAGCAGAGCTAAAATGTGATCAAAACTGAGTCCTCCCTGCATACATGTTTTAATAGTCAAAAGCCTTACCCCCATATCCTGATCAGATATGACAGAAACAAATGAGGATTTAATGGCTAAATCCAGTCTGTGCTCTCCAAAATCCCTGAAAATATTGCCAATTCATTTGTCAAGGGTTTTGGCAGGGGAACGCTGGAACACCATAAACACAGCTGGAATATTCTTAAACAAGCAGAAAGTTACCTTACATGGCAGTGAAGATCTGACTCCAGTTTGTGGGAAAGAAAAATGAAACAAACTCCTTCACTGTCTCCAGGTCACAGATCCTCAACTGCCCTGGTGCAGAAAACCCCGTCAGCTGTACCTGAACAGCCCATTCTGACCGTGGGATTATGGGCGAGAATGTGCGTATTTCAGGAAATCTACATGCTAAGGTGACACAGTCAAATAAGCACATTCGGCTTAGAAGCCGCAAGCTCTGCTTCTGGGAGCAAACATCTCACTTGAATGGCCGCGCGTGGGCTCGCGGTGCCGGCGCCGGGGCTGAGCTGCCGCCGCGCAACTCTCTGAGTGTCAAGTTGCTTGAGAGCATCTCAAACCACGTTTTCCGAATGAGACGGCAGGATGAGTTACTGGCCCCAAAGAGGGAAATGCACACCTGGACGTGGCGTCCTGCCCCGAGAGACGGAGAACACCAGCGTGTGCTGAGTAGCTTCAGGTGCTTGGAAGGTGCTAGGTGCTTTCCGTGTGGAGAGGCGTGACAACTTCCCGAGGGTGTCTGTGCTGGAACACGGGCTGGTGTTGTCAGTCAAGATGGGACTTTAAAAATATTTTTTCTTACCAATAGGTAGATCTTGACTTTTTAAAGACAGACGATGATTCTAACTGAAAGTGTAGCGAGGTCTGATCGGCACAGCCGGGGGGTCCCGCCAGCCCTGGCGGGGCACCGCTAATGCAGTGGGGGCTGCGTCAAGGAGGCTTCTAGGGAGGGACTAAAACTACTGAAGTGGCACCAGAAACCTGGGGGGAGCCAGCTCGACCAACCCCCTCCTTTGTCTTCATTCTCGTAGGTGAACTGGGCAACGGCAGGAAGAGAAAAGTGAACCACTCAACTCTCAACTCAACCTCCCTCATAATCAAACAGTCTGATTTAAAAACTTTCTTACTGAACAGTTCATACCCTGATTTTTTTTTTTTTTTTGAAACAGAGTCTCACTCTGTTGCCCGGGCTAGAGTGCCGTGGCATCAGCCTAGCTCACAGCAACCTCAAACTCCTGGGCTCAAGCGATCCTTCTGCCTCAGCCTCCCGAGTAGCTGGGACTACAGGCATGCGCCACCATGCCCAGCTAATTTTTTCTATATACTTTTAGTTGTCTGATTAATTTCTTTCTATTTTTAGTAGAGACGGGGTCTCGCTCTTGCTCAGGCTGGTCTCGAACTCCTGAGCTCAAATAATCCGCCCGTCTCGGCCTCCCAGAGTGCTAGGATTACAGGCGTGAGCCACCGCGCCCGGCCCATACCCTGATTTTTGTATCAGAAGGCACTTTTCAGAGCAGCCGAGCCTTCGTTTTACTTAATTTTTATTTGTTTTTCAAAGCGCTGAGGCAGCCATAGCCACTGAGAACAGAAATGCTTTATCCGCAGTGCCACTAATGGGAGACGTTTATTAATATTTGATTGAAAACCGTAATTCTTTAATAAAAGCAAAACAGCAGCATGAAAGAATTGTTCTTTTAACAAATGCACTGATTCAGGCGGAGGCCCCTGCAGCCAGGAGTCCCTGGGTCCTGCTAACTGAAAAACGTACCATGTCTGTCTTTATGTTTCAGAACAAATGGTTATAAATGAGTATCTTCTTTTTTTGCAATAGGGAATCCTCGTCAGTTCACCAGAAATTACTTTTCTGTTGGGAGAAAAAAGGTGGGGAGGGAGGAGTTTTCTCCTTTTCACACTGAGCCGGCATTTGCATGAAATATCGAGGAGGGGGCTCCCGTAGTTTGTTTCAGGAACAGGCTGCGTCTGGTGTCAAGTGTGGTCAATCAACTAAATGGCAGATCAAATGAGCCGGGTTCTCTTGTTAAGTGCTGTGTCCTGCTCTTGCCCACGGAAGCTCCAGCTGCTGTACGATCTGATCTGCAGAAACCACCAGTGGGTGCTCAAGGGGCCCTGGACGCTGCAGGCTGCACTGCTGTCCATTCCTGTCCCCACCGGACAGAGGGAGAAAGAGAGACGGACAGCCGCGTCACAAGCCGGCCAGGCCACTCAGAGACCAGGCCGGCATTCACACCTCGCACTCCGGGTCTCTGCCCCGTGCAGAGGGTACGCTCAGACAAGACGCTACCACGTCTCTGACTAGCGGCTCCCTACAAGATAAGCAGGGCAGGTATCTTCCCTGCTGTCACTTACAAATGGGGAAACTGAGGGATAGAGGTAGGAAAATGAAATGACTAAGGTTATGCTGCATTTCAGTGGGAGTTCTGGGTTCGCTGACCTCTAAGCACTGTACATTTCGCTGTGACTAATTTGAGGGCTTTCCTTCAGTCTTTTCTCCGTGCTATACCCTGGGGAATGAAAAATGCAATGACACCGCCGCAGTGTGACTGAGGACAACAACAGGAGATAATAGGGATTCTAATCACTCAACTGGCAGCAGAGAAGGGATTACAAAAACATTATCGTGTCTTTGGACATGCCGTGTTCTTCATTTAGCCACACTGCCTTTTCCCACGCTCTTCTCTCCCCCGGTTCGCCTGCCTGCGTGGGCATCCGTGCATCCCGGCTGCAGGACAACCAGATGACCAGGAGTGACCAGACGCTCTCCTGGCTCGAACCGCCAGGACGGCACTCCTAGGATCCTCCTGCTAGTGAGGCCGTCCGGGAGCCAGAGGTCGTGTAGCCTAGCGCTGGACTGTCGGGCTCGACCCGATGGCGGCCCGGGTGAAAAGCCGCAGGTGCCCGCAGGCCCCGCATCTGCCTTTCAGGGATCGCGCCCAATATCACATCTTTTAAGTGAGTGTTACGTAACGAGAATTTTGGAATGGTTAGAGAATGCACAAAGTGTGATTTCCATGCCACCCTCCCTCTTCTTTTCTTTATTTTTAACCGCCTTCAGAAGAAAATACAGGAATCAGAGCTTGGCACTGTTCCACCGCCTGCTGGTTTTCCTAGACTACCTCCACTTTGGGGTTCTGGGGGTGGCTGTAGGTGGAACTTTTGTTCTCTGGGCCTTCAATTCTAACAGCTGACATTATGAAGCTCCATGTCTAAAAACCAAAAACACAAATGTTCTTCCTCACATGGTGCTGAAATTAGGTAACACTAGTGAGATGGGTGAGAATTAGAACCCAACCTTTCAACATGTGGCTTAGGGTGTCGGTGTTGGCCGAGAACCAGAAACTGAGAATGAAACTAAGTTTCTAATTAGCCCCACAGAAACTGCACTGCTAACTACAGTAATAACAGAATGAAACCTCTTCACGTTGCAAAAATATATCCTCCTTGTAAGAACTGAAAAATATGTTTTACATGTACACTTGGACCTTGGATTGATTCGGGGAACTGCAGTGAGACACTGTTAACACTCAGCATCACCCTTCTGAGCGGTTTAAGGAAAGAGGCGTGTGGCATCGTCAAAGGGGGAGGCAAATGTGGAAAGAGAACAGTTATTTCCAACTCTTTTGTGTAGCTGCTTGCAAAAATACCCGTTTTCATCAAGGCTCTGAGCTGCACCTTTTGCACCTATCATGGTGGCAAAAAAAAACCTACAATCTTCTTCAGGATGAAGTCACTTTCTGTCACTTAAAGAACTCCCTGGGCTCGGGACACCAGGAGTTTCGCTCTTTGAAATAAAACTTGAATACCCCAAGGCAGGCCCAGTTTCCGTGAGTCCATGGCTGCTCTGTGCTGCCCGTGAACCTCGACACTCTCTTTTCGGTTTCTGTCACCGAGAAGAGGACATACTCTTCACGCTTCCTTCAGGCGTGGGCAGAAGGCCCGAAGGCTAAGATGGAAACAGCAAATATCCTTTCTCATCCTCCATATCTCTGCCTTGCCCCCCAAAATCAGCTTCCATCTGAGATGAAAAGGGCTGTGTCCGGTAAGGCAGCCTGTCCGCTTTCCATGTGACAGTGACAACCTGAGCTAATATGTTGGCGCTAAGACCGTCTCAAGTTGAGAAATCAAAGGTGATCATTTCAGCTACGGTGAAAAGTTCAAGTTTATCGCAGGGGACATATCATAGGGTGACCTCTCGCTGGACGCAGTGCCTACATCTACCTGGACTACGACACAGAGCTCCGATTAGCAGTTAAGGAGAGACTTTCCAGACGGCACACTCACCTCGGCTCAGCCCGTCGGGCCCCCGGAGGATGCGACATTCTTCTATCTGGCCAAACGGAGAGAACATCACCCTGATATCATTCTCATTACACTTCTTCGAAACCATTCCTATGAACAATTTTCTGTCTTCCACGGCTAGGAGATAAAAATAATGAATGAGCAGAGGCCATTTTATCTTTTTTCTTGTAATCAATGCCTCATTACCCCATCAAAACAGGCCCCAGCCACGCGAGACCGAGGCTCGCTCCCAGCCGCCCTCCTGCTACACGCCCGGCACCGCCTCCTCCTCCCACCTGGCCCTCCCCGAACGTTTCATCTCTCTGTGCGCACTTGGTATCACTAATGAAGCATCTTAATAGGGCGCAGGGACTAACGGCAGTTTCCCATTCAGAAACTAACAGCGATGTGTTTACTACAATTTTAAAGCACTTGTGTAATTGCTAACCCACTACTGCTGCATAGGGATATTTTTGGATGCAAATTTTAATTTTGGTGTTTTGTAGATGTTAACTCAAGTGACAGGCAAAGAGAAAGGCCAGGGGAGGAAGCCAACAGGAGCGGAGGGGATGCAACAGGAATACACCTCACGAGACTTTCCAGGAAAGACGACACTTTTCTCCCCTATTCCAAGTAGCCGTATCTCCGCTGATCTAGACAAGAGGCCAGGGAGAGCTCGTTTCTCTGCAGAGCGAGGAAAGCACTTCCTTCCCACGGCCTGGGCTCTGCTGTGCTGACCCGTCCCCGCGCCTGGCTGTGACCAGCCAGGTCCGTCACAGCTGAGGAGGAGCCAGTCCCAGAGAGGAGAGCCTCCGACCCCCCCCACGCTCGCCCCCTGCACAGAAGCACCGGGAGGGAACGATACTCTTCTCCCCCCGGGAGGCAGGATTCTTGCTGAACACTGAGGCATTGGAGGTATCGTGACAACAACATGCAAATGCAGACCGCGGACCCCGCCAGCGGGGAAAGGCAAGCAGGTCCTCAGATGACCTGGGAGATTTTCCTCGAAATCACACTGTTGCTCGAGATAGATGACCTGCATTTGGCCTGGAAGGCAGGGTTAAAACTGACTTCTGGACAATGTTTAAAGCCTTTTTCAGGAGAGATGCCTTTTGTCAGGACATCACGGACGCCCACGGGGATAAGTCCTGCTTATTTTCCACTGTTCCATTTCAACCCACTTCGGAAAATTAAATAAATAAATAAAGCCCGCTGCACCAGAGAGGACAGAGCGTCCGGCCCCAGGGGAAGGGCTCTGCCTTAAGTCACTTGTGTATAAACCTTTGTTCCACATCTGTATTATAATCTTGTCATTGCCATTTAATTGGCTTTTATTTCTGCTTCCTTTATACCCCTTCCCTGGACAGTAAGTGTCTCATGTTCATTTAACCAGCAAGCCCTTCCTTATTCTGGACTTACTGGGGCCAGTTGCTTCTGGAAGCGAAGTTACAATACGTGGTCTGCGCCCTCCGGGAGCCGGGCAGGTATGCTCAGAAAGTGGCAATGTCACACGGCGGCTTCCTCCGCAGCAGCGCCACCCACGTCTGTGCTGTCGCACACAGAAGCTAAAGCCACCTGTGGCTACCGAGCACTTAAAAGGGGCTGGTGTGATTGAGGAAGTGATTTTTAATTTAATTAAAAAAGCCACACGTGACTGCTACATGGGACGGTGCGGCCTTGAAGGGCCTAAAAGCCACAGCTAAAAGCTCCTTCTCATAGAATCGCAGACTGGAAGAGACGTGAGGGACGCTCTGTCTCTGAAACGGGTCCCCGAGCCCGCAGGGGCGGGACCTGCCTTGGCGTCTTCGGCCTGGACCTCCCCACGTGCTCCTCCAAGTTCGGAGAAGGAGATGAGGCTCGCGGGGAGAGGGGTGGCCGGGACGAGTTGCCCTTCCTCTGATGTGTGACCTTGCAGAATCACCCAGCTAGCTGACCTCTGAGGACCTCAGTTTTGTCTTCCGTGAAATGAAGTAGTAGCGCACCAAAGCGCTTGAGAAAGGCTGGACGAAGGCTGCGGAATTCAAGCTGGACTAAGCCGCACAGGCAGGGTGTGGACGGGCTGGTGGGGGAGGGGGTCCTCCGCAGGCGGGTACGCAGTCAGGGACACGTGGGGGATGAGGGAGCAGCCTGGGTTCAGGGCACCACACCCCGTCTTCTGCTGCCTCTGCATGGAAGGGGCTCACGCATAAGGACAGCAGCAGCCAGCTGCCGGGCTTGTGCTGAGACGCACAGCAGACGTGGCCACAGGCATCGTGGGCTCTGATTCCAGGGAGGGAGACTGCTGAGGACCTGACCTCCTGCATAGGATGAAGAAATTCCAAATGAAGTTCTTCTTCCTCCTTCAGAGTATACCAAGTACCACTGGTCCACTGCGACCTGGCAAAGCCTGGCAAGTCACGGGCAGTGCTGGTGCGACAACTAAGCTGCAGAAACACGGGGGCCCCTGGGCGTGAGCTGTCCACAGGACAGAGCCTCTGTGGCCCCAACACGAGGATGCCCGCAGGCTCTCTAGGGCGCCCAAGCTCCTCAGCATGGGAAGGTTCTGGTAGCACGTGCACCAGGAGGACGTGGCATTATTCCCCAGGAGAGAAAGGGGATGGAACTGACTGAGATGGGGCAGAGTAGGGAGGCGAAACTTCTAGATTCCTCGTTCCCTCTCCCTCTGCAACTCCTACCTCTGGTTGGCATCTCTATGAGAGTAAAAACCCTGTTGTATTTCTTCTTACCCTGAAGATCTGATTTTAGTGCTTTTAAACAAAAGCACATGAAAAATTCCCACTTGGTCCTTGGTTTCACTGGTGAACCTGTAATTACGGTATTTAGCTAAAACAATTCGCAGGTTTTGAGCTTCAGGGAGATGCCACAGTAAGTTAAACACGCAGCTCCTGAGTAAGCTGAAAAATGATTTTTTCCTAAGATGAATATTAAGAAAGTGGAAACCACTCATTGAGAAATGATGACTTCTTAGCCATCGCTAAGGTAAACTCAGCCAGGCAACAGTAACTCTCACTTTTTAAAATAACAAGTATTAGCTAATAAAAAATGGGAACCTACATCATCCGTCTGCTGCTCGGAACGCTATTTGCATCTCTGCGTGCGTGTGTGGGCTGACGGCGCTCGCGGGGGCCCCTCAACGAGCGCTGGACACCAGCTTCTCACCAGCCGGAGCTGCTCTGCGGTTTCCACAGTTGGGCTCTGTTTGCTTTAGTGGCAAATGCAGATGATTCAACATATCCAGCTTTCCTCTCGAGTTTTCTTGATTTTCCGGTGAAAATTTATTCATAAAATTTATTCCCAGGATTCCCGTTCTAAGGATCCCTAACAGCTTTGTAAACATTCTAAATCAATATAGTTATCTTGAATTCACTTAACTTTTTCATCAATTTTTGATGACTTTCTAGGGTGAGTTTTTCCTAAGTATTTATAGGCACTTAGTATCTGACTTTTTCTTTCTTTCCTTCTTTCTTTTTTTAAAAATATAGACAGGGTCTCGCTCCGTCATCCAGGCTGAAAGTGCAGTGGTGCAATCACAGCTCACTACAGCCTTGACCTCCTGGCTCCAATCATCCTCCTGCCTCAGCCTCCCAAGTAGCTAGGACTAGAGGTGCCACCATAACCCACTAATTTTTTAAATTTTTTTGTAGAGATGGGGTCTTGCTATATTGCCCAGGTGGGTCTCAAGCGATCCTCTCACCTCAGCCTCCCAAAGTGCTGGGATTATGGGCATGAGTCACCATACCTGGCCCTCATTCATTTTTTTAATCTACAAGGATGTCAATTACTTAAATGAATCCATGTTTATTGTACTCTATTGGTGCTTCAGGGGAATTAAAAAAAATAATTAAAAGGTAAGGTCCCTGCCTTCTAGGGGAAAAGTCAATTTCCTCTAGGAGAGCCAGTGAATGAATGTGGGGAAATGCTTTTATGTACGGAGCACTGCATAGGTGGGGGCCCCTCCGTCGATAATGACAGCAACAGAACTTCCACGCCAGTGGCCAAAGTTCTCCTTCCACAGTATAATGAGAAAGGATTAATCCTTTAAGTACAAGGAGTGACTTTTTTAAGTTAGGGGAATGGAAACTTCATTTTTAAAAAATCCCTAATTGTGAGTCTGTGCTAACACCCGGGTGTACAATCTGTCAAAGTCACACCTGGATTCGGGGCTGCCTGAATTAATTAACAACTTTTCAATGTGTTAGTGCTAACATATGGCATTTAATTACTGCCTCCAAATCTGTGAGTCTCTCCACTTTGAATTTCAAAATTATTTCTTCATCTTCTAGTAAATCAGAAAGTGACTGGGTGGGAACACCCCGCGATTCCCATTTCTATGGCGGCTTTGCAGGCCTTCGCCTCCCCTGACGACGCTTGGTTATCGTGACTCCTGCTAGCTCTGAACTTGACACACGGACGGACACTGGAGGTTTTGGAGGCCTTGAGAAAGAGACACGGTGGCTTAAGTGGCATTTCTGGATTCGAGGCTTTAAGGACCCCAGCAAACTGTGAGGTTGGAGGGTCAAGGTGGGATGGATTAATGCTCTGTCTGCAGCGTAAAAACAATCCTCCTCGCAACGAGAAGCGTGAGGGAGAACGCTGGCTCCACCGCTGAGACCTAGCGCAGAGCCACCGCAACCTCTGTGCTGTTCTGATCACTCACCGCTAGGCCAACTTCAGCAACAGCTTTTAATTTTCAGTCTTGCTCAGTTGGTGCCTTTTTCTGCATAGCAATAGAGAAGTAGAAGCCAAATGGCATATACAGAATGGAAGAGAAAAACTGTGTTTGGGCTGGTTTACACTGGTACCCAAATCCGCACCTCCTCAAATGCCCCTCATGTACCACAATTCAACTTTCTGCAATGGAGAAATAACAAAAAAGTTGGATTCTGCTGAAAGCTGGATATTTATTCTACGTGGTCTTCTTAACAGTCTCAGCATTTCATTGCTTATCCAGAGTGGGATTTTTTTTTTTCTTTTGGACACCCAGCACAGCAGGAGCACATGGACGGGAAATAACGTTGCCCAGCACGTTGCAGAGATGTGCTAGAGGCTGCAGCTTAATCAGAGTCGACTGACCCTGGAGGTTTGGGAGGTCTGCTGGGGAAAATGCTCCGGTGCAGGGCTGATCTGAGAGCATACTAACATTTCTGGGCTCACCCCAGAGGCTCGATTTGTCAGAATCTCTACATGGACGAAGACTTCCAAAGGTGATTGCTTTTCTGGAATTCATTTGTCCATCACTAATTAATCTGCGATTAGCAGCTCTTTCTTGCTCAGCAAATACCAAGTTTCAGAAATCTGAACACACTGATAACGAAGACAGCAACTGTCTAACTGTGACGCATCCTTTGTGCCATCCATAAATGTCAGTAAACTCAATAAGAGCGCAATTAGAGCTCGTTATACTTCTTTCACAACCACGGGAGCTATTTAGAGCATCCGAGGCACAGAAATCTTTGTGCTCTCTGAGCTTTTGAAACTATGCTTACCTGTCAAAAATGCCATGTGAAACCAGAAAAGGCTTGCAGCTTTTATCACTTGCTTTGGAAAATTATACACTTCTCCTGATTCCTCAATCAGGTCCAAAGAGAACCTTGAAACCTGTTCATGTCTATGCAAGCTGAGGTTCCATTCGAGCCTCCAGAAAGAAGAGCCCGTCAAAAAGCAGCTTTCTGTCCATTTAAACTTTTTGACTTTTTTTAGTGGAAATTTAGACACTGGACGATCTATGAAGCAAAGGGAGAACTGGCTCAACCAGAAGGTTTGGGGTTTTCATTGCTATGTACAGATCTATGCTTTGGTATGAACACCCAAGCCTGGCTGCGCCAGCCTCCGCTGCTCGGAACACTCTGGAACGGCTGCCTCAGCTGGTGGAATGACACTGCTGACTTAGCATAATTTAGCATACTGCATATTTACTGTGTGCCAGGTATCATGCTAAGCTCTTCACAGCTGTGAATTTACGTAATACTCAAACAACCTCATAAGGCAGGCATTACAAAGAGAGTTCAGACTACACTACAGGCGCTGAGGCTGAGTGAGGGTCAGGAACCTGCCCAAGGACACAGCAACAGGTGTAGAGTCAGGAGTCAAATCCAGCCTTCTCAACACAGTTCTTGACCACTACCCTGTGCTGCTTCTCGAAAAATGGTATTTTTAGACACTCTCTCATCCTAGTAATAATGGTGCCCAGTCCCGCTTGGCTTCCAAGATCATGCAAAATTGGGTGCACCCAAGATGATTTTATTCTGTTGCTGTGGTTCTAGACCCAAAGCAAACATTACCGTTAGCGTCCAGAGTAGACACGGGACAGAAAGAGCAACAAAGCTCTGAGCACTCCCAGCAGCCTGCCCGTGGGGAGGATTCTCTAAGTCAGGGCACACACCTGCACCGCGGAACACGCGGAAGGAAAAGAGTGGGGCATCTCGGGTCACATGTTTTCAACTCAGTTCTCTAACTTGTCACGTTTTTATAACTACCTTAGATTCGGAAATGAGACAGAGCCTTTTCCACAGACTTGCACTGCATGGTCCTTGTCCTGACACAGTTTAGAGAATTATGGGGCCAAAGGACAGGGAGCATCTCTTGGTGGCCAGAAGCTCTGAGATGACCTGTATTGACAGGATTCATCCCACAAATACAAAATCCTCTCTCCTCTCTCCCAGTGAGGAACTGAACAGACTATAAGCAGGCGCCTCCAGAGCAAAAGGCCCGAAGAAGTCAGCACAGGTAGAACGGCCTTCTGCACAGGTAGGCACGCTCACCGAAGAACCCCAAAGAGCCAGGGCAGCACCCCTGGGTGATGACAGGAATCAGTGTTCACAGACATGCTCTATGGTTACACACACTGTTAACACACACCTTACTGGAGTCTTGGGGGGAAAAGGTCAACCTGTGTGAGGCAGTTACCAACAATCCCATTTTAAGAAAAAGGAGACTGAAGTCCAGTGTTGAAGTGACTTCTAGATACTCAAGTCAGGAGACTGAATGTAAGTTCCATGAGGTCAAGACACGGTCTCTTGTGATCTTTTCTTCTTCTTCCTTTTCTTACTCATTGCTGCAGCCCCAGCCCCTAGCAATGTGTCTGGCACGCAGCAAACTGTCAACAAATCACTGAATACGGTGACTCGGTCACAGTCCCACAACGAAGTAGCAGCACATTTTAGAACTTCTGACACTAAATGCCATGTCTGTGATCAAGCAGTATAGAAAAAAGGGAATTGACCCCAAGAAAAGTACAAGGATGAGGAGAAGACAGTGGTTAAAGCACCGAAGTCTACTCCCAGACAGAGTAAAGCTTTTTTAAAACTTTACTTATTTATATAGGGCTGGGGTCTCACTATGCTGCCCAGGCTGGCCTTGAACTCCTGGGCTCAAGCGATCCTCCCACCTCAGCCTCTGAGTGGCTGGGACTACAGGTGCACACTACAGTGCCCTGTGGAGAGAGGAAAGCTCTGACAAACCAAGTGCTGGCAGCACCGGGCTATGACTTGGAATTTTCTTCAAAACTTTGTAGTCTGTGGAGAAGCCAGAAAATGGAATGCGCTACAATTAGCAAAAAATACCTCGCGGAGAGATTTAGAGCCCAATCATAATTTACATTTGCAGATATGTAGATCTCTAAGTGCATGGCTTCTGCCCTGATTACTAATTAATGAGGTGCAAAACTGCCTGTTGGAAGGAAACAGTGCTGATTATGTCAGTCTTGTGGGACAGAGAAGCTCTCTGGTCTAAGAAGGTAGACGATTCTTTTAACATACATTTCAGTAAATTAAAAGAACAAAACAGGGAAAAGTGGCTCGTAGAAATGGAAGCAAAAACTTGAGAGAGAGAAACGTGGCTATCAACTCCCTCGTGTCTGGAAGACGCAAATCCCAATTATTTCATGGACCTCATCAGATGCATATTTTTGCACCAAGTGTAGGTTTATTTAATCAGCAGACTGAACTCTGAATGAATTCTGATGCAAATGCAGCAGCACAACTTAGAGAAGAGTGCAATGAGGCAGTCTCCAAGTCAAAGAGGAACAAATGGAAAGCCCAAAAAAAAAAAAAAAAAAAAAAAAAGAAAGAAGAAGGTGGCAGCCTAATCCTTCACGGGCAATTCCCTTCCTGCTTGTGTCCTTCCCTTACCCCCATCAGGTGTTGCCATGTTGCTCTGCTGGAGGAGACAGGAGCCATAGGGCCACTACAGGGAAAACCACAAACAGAGGGACATGGAACGCATTCCTCGTCACGGTCTCACAGATCTTTACACCAGAGATCAGCGAGGCAGGAGAGAGGAGTGTGCGCTTCTCCAGACCCACGGGCGCGGCGGTAGGCTCCCGGAGCAGTGCTCTCTGCCCTCCCAAGAGCAAAAGCAGCTGGGCTGGCTCTTCCCTCCCCCACCTGACTCTTCAATTTACAGCAGCAAACATTATTAAAATAGACAGTTGGTTACCACCTACCGTTTGACTTTTCACTATCTGCAGGTTTCATCTGAATGGGATGATGCATCTAAAAACACAAAAGCGAGACAGTAAAGGCAGATTGAACAACCGTAAACACAGTCTCAGAAATCTGAAGCAACTTGCATACTGATTTTGTTTCAGGGGCACATAAATAATAATCGAACTTCTCCCAGTTAAAATTAACTACATTAAAAAGCAAGCCTGTGTTTTACATTCAGGAATCTAACCCTCTGAAGCCACGGGGGCTCTGGAACCCAGTATGTATTTAAAAAGCTCGGGCTTTGGAGTCAGACGAGTTTGAAACCTGCTTCTGCCACTCAGTATAGACTCTGCCTCTTTCTTATAGGTAATTCTGGTTCTGCCATTCATTACAGCTGTGTGATCCTGGGCATGTGTCTTAACTTCTCTGAACTTCAGCCTCCTCATCTGTGAGATGGGGATAACACCTGCATAGTAGGGTTGTGAGAATTAAATGAGAAAATGCGTGTGCTTCATAAGCAGAGCCTAAAATGTGCTGGAAAAAAAAATTCGGGTATGGTTATTGCATTATTACAAATTTAAATGCAGATTGTCTTTGTTCCTCTTCTGGCCATGTCATGTTTGTCACGTGGGTTTTTCAGGTCTCATGAGTATTTGGAAGGTCTAGCAGTTGACTGACTCAGGTGCCAGTATAGAGTTTTCATTAAGTGCTAATGAAAGTCTAGGAGTGCAGAGCCACTGACGAACGGAAGGACACACAGAGAGCAGGCAGGAAAGAGGGAGGAAGACATGGACCTTGACATCATGTTCTGTGCACACGCAGGGCCAAGGTCCCGAACCGTGGCAGACCCGGACGCTCTCACGTGGCACCCCACACTCCACTGGCGCGATTCGAGCCTGCCCCAAGCACAGACGCTACCATTTCCAATTAAAATAAATCCCTCAAGCCACTTTCAGAGGTCCTCTTGCTTCCTATTTCATCATACCCCAAGGAACACAGAAGCCACAGGGTGGAGGAATCGCTGGCCGTGCAAATGCTTTTATTATAATGGGTCCCGTTGTCTCTGAACCTTTAATTTCCCCAGTGGACTTCCAGCACTTGCGAGCCCCAGCTCTGGGTTTTATCTAATTTAAATGAAAGGAGAACGGTACTTGGCTCCGGCGCTGATGTGATGAGAAATTACGAGAGGAGAGTTTCCGAGCCAGCGTCAGCAGAGGCCACGATGAACACGCCACGGTACCTGTGTGGCTTTGGCAGTAGAAAACTCTACAGGGGGTTTATGGAAAGCAGCTTCGGTGGAGCGGCGGGGCAAGGACGCCCGACTGCAGGCAGTGGGGGAGAAACGGGGAGGACGGCGGCGGATGTGGTGAGTGAGGACGCCTATTGACCGCAATGGGGGAGACGGGAGGACGGAGGCTGCAACTTTCAGACAGGACAGACTCAGACACGTTACTGTGCTGGCCACAGTCAGACGGGAGTCACAGGTTGCAGCGGGGGGCAGGTGCACCCACGTTACGCAGAGCACCCAGAACTGAAATGAACGTGGCTCCTGCCCTCAGGGAGCTTGCAGCCCAGCAGGGCGGCAACACGCACAGACGTAAAAATGGGGACAGACACCAGAAGTGAGGCACAAAGAGAAGCGCGGAGAGTGCCTTCGGACGCACCTGCGGGCTGCCTGGGGGACCGCAGCCGGAGCGGGGGAGCCGCGGGGACAGAATCACTCTAAGGCTCTCAGGGGCCACGGCAGCCACAGAGAGCAGCGTTCTCCGTCGCCAGGTCTGAAGGGAACACGTGACTTGGCAAAGGACACAGCTGGCTATGACGCGGTCGGGATCAGAAATCTAATCTCCCCGCCTTTATCCCAGCGATGACGCCTCCAGACCACAATGCTTCGCCCCAGAACATCCGCCGTGGGACCCGGACGTCTGAGCCTTCAGCTAAGAACCGCAGGCTTCGCTCACTGACGGCACCTGCGATATCCCCGGGAGAAAGGAAGCTTCCCTCCCTCCAAACTCCCAAACGCTTCATCTCCGTGGCTTTGTGGCTAGTGTTATGCTAAGACTGGACTCTTGGTTTTCTTGCAGCTGCCGAGAGAATGAGCTCAGTTTCTGCCCCAGGACTATCTGGAAGGCTCAGGAAAGTACGAGCGGTAGTCAGAATGCAGCTAAGGCCCCCGCAGACTCGGACTTTGTTTTGGTTTTTCCCAGGCCCAGTGAGGGAAAAAAATCAACTTCGCAGAGATCTGAATTGTCAGACCATGGTGACTTCTGAATGGGTGGTCACCCGACTCCAGGTATGTTCTGAAGACAATTTAGATAATGTATGCAAAGCACCGTGACCTTCTTAGAGAAAGGTGTTCAATCAGTACTGTATTAAGAACGGTTCATTATCATGAACAGTTCATCTGAGTTACAAATTTCTGATCACATACAAGATGTAAATGTCAAGGGAGACAAAAAATGGTTTGGAGAAGTTGTTCTCATAATGTTGTTTCACTTCCTCGAAAATCTCACGATTCTGACAACTTTGGGAGATTTCTTGAGTGGAGCAGGGAAGATCTTCTAAAAAGAACGGGCTTTCCAGTTTAAAGTTTCAAGTTATAAAAAGGGGAGTGTTTCCCGTAACAGAAATGGCTCCGAAGGTTTGATCTAGAGTGACTTTAGGACTACCCATTCCTTCACTTGTTTCTGCTTTTACCAGACACCGTGTTTGATGCTGGGAACAGCACGATGAGGAAGAGTTCTCATCGTGACAGAGCTTGCAGTGTGGCAGAGCAGGGGCAGACACAGCAGCCCTGTCCCACAGTGTGACACCAGGTGTGACACCAGGTGTGCTGAGACCTGCAAGGTGGGAACACAGAGCACAGATGCCCGACACAGACCGAGGAAGGACACACCAGAGAAGGCGTCTCAGATGACGCAGTGTTTTGAGTTCATTCCTGACGGAATCCTAACGTTAACCCGAAGATGCGGGAAGGGCATTCAGGGAAGGGAACAGCACAGTTGAAGACACACGGTAAGAGAAAATAGGCCACAGTGTTACTGAAGAATGACGACACGGCATTCTAACCAATAGAGGAAGCAATAGGAGCGGTCCAAGATCACTCTCCAAAAACAAAATACCTAAAAAGCACAACAAGACTAACAGTGAGGAATATGTTCAGGGATGGGAGAATTTCAAGGAAAAGGCAAACAATGCTGGTCTACTCAACCCTGAATTAAAACTGCCCTAGGCACGAGGATTGGTAGCCAGAGGTCACACCCTCAGCCCCTTTCTCAAGAACTAAAGACACAATCACAGGTCAGTTGCTTCTCCCCACTGCTTCCACCATGACCAGGGAACCTGGTCTATCTCTGCCAGAGCCCGATGGGGCTGGGGCTGGACTTCCATGCTATGCTCTGTGCACACCTGGAGGGCCCAGGTGACAGCAGGAGACCAGGGAAGGCCCAGAGAACGTGGAAGTCACTATTCCAATATGCGCGACCTGTGGCCAGTTGCAAGGAAGTCTCAGGGTCAGGGCTGAGGCCAGTTCCCAGGGGCTACCTCCTCCTCCTGCCGATGGCAAGTGAGCACACGAGCTTCAAGAATTCTCGCAAGGGGTCTCCTAAGAGACACGTGCCAATTAAATTGAGCCACATCTCCATAACCACACAGAATTGGCTGCGTCTGAAAAAAACATTCACTCACTAAAAGCCCTGACTTCACCACTATGCAATATATCCGTGTAACAAAATTATACTTGTATTCCATAAATTTATACAATTAAAAAAAATACTCAGTAGTCTGCACTGTCATGATCTGTCTATATTGTTTGATGAGTCTAAGAAGCTTATAAACACCAGCCTCTGACACTTACAGTGTTTCATGATGAAACACAGCAATGAGCCTATCACTGCGTTCAGTTCAGCTGTACTTGCATAAACTGAAAAGACAACAGGAGATCTATAGTTCTCACACCAGGCTCCGGCTGCAGCGTGCTTGCGCCAGAGAAATGGCAGGAGCCATCGTTGTGGAAATAAATCCTGTTGAATGACGGGAATAAATATGACTTAACATATTTCTTCAAGTTTACATTTCTATGAAGACAGGCTTCTAAACTGATTTCTTTGAGGATTTCTTTGTACATGAATTTTTAAAATTTCATTGCAGAACATTTTGCCTAAAGTTAACACAGCAAGATACTAGCTAACTTCTTGGTCTCTAGCCCAATTTATTTAAAAACAAATGAAACATAACAAAAAGAAAAATTTAAGCGCTCCCTCCCTCCCTGGCGGCGAGGGGATCGGCGCTAAGCGTGTTCCTTAGAAGGTGCCTGGTTCAGTCTCTGTCGCAACTGCGTGTCAGCCGCTGGCATCACGTGCACAGTCGAGGCGGACCACTCAGAGGAGAGCACCGCGGCACACCGAGGAACGGTCCCTTTGGGGTCTGCTCGGGCTTTCAGCAAGTTGGCGCTTTGTGAGGACAGGCCCCTACCACGCTGTCCTTCCTACCCCAAGGCTAAGCTCGTGCACCCACGGCAGGCCGAGGCATGGCGCGGACGCAGGCTCTGATACGGTCGGGCCTCCATCCTTGCTGCCCTGGTAGGAAGGTGGCTCTCTCTCTGTGGCTGGAGCAAAAGCCCCCTTCATCCCATGCGCACTGAGTGAGTAGCCCGTGGTCCTCCCTCTCCTCCTCCTTCCCTATACACGCAGGGCCCTGGGACTGAGGTGTCCACCCTGGTCTTCAGAGTGGCTGACCTCTGCCCGGACCCAACACTCCTCGCTCCCGACTCTGCTGACCTTCGCTGCCTTGCAGATGAGCCCAGCTGTGACTCATTAAAGTGAAAATGAGGGTGCAACTCCAGAGCAAAGCCATCACCCCAAGTCTGCGGGGCAACTGCAGGCGGAGCGCGCCGCGCACAGCTCTGGCAACGGCTCTCACGCCTCTTGCCGCAGCGACAGCGGTGAGGCTGGTCCCAGAGCAGCGGCACTCAGTAACCGCGCTCTCGACCACACCAGGCGACGTCCAGTGTGGTTTCTCCAAAGCTGGCTGCTGCCTCAGTCCTCGGACGCGGAACACAGGCCTAG